CCTTCTTCTTCTTCTTCTTCTTCTTCTTCTTCTTCTTCTTCTTCTTCTTCTTCTTCTTCTTCTTCTTCTTCTTTAAATGAGTGTAACATTCACCTTACTTTTACTTCTTCATTTTTTAATTAATCCTCTTTTACTGTTGAGGGTCGATCGAGGGAAGACGCAATTTTCGATGGTAGGCCGATCGTGCTGTTTAATTGAGAAGCTGTAGTTTTTCAGGGTTCTTCTATAACCATAATGACTTTTAAATGAGAACCAGCAAAGTAAACCACAGCATCCCTCAGCTTATCAGTTCGCACACTTGGGCAGCTATGCCCAGTCATTTTTTCGTCTTTCTTCAGGAACGAAGAGTTTCAGGTTGCAAAACAACATTTTTCCCCCACTGTGCATTACTTTTTAACACGATGGCCCGTGAACAGTAAAATCCACAGGATTTTGTTGTTGTTGTTATTTGAAGAAAGCAAGTTATTATTCACATTGGCTATGACCTTGGTCAGGAAATATAAATTAATTAAGGTATTTTTGAAACCGGACATGATGCTAGATAAAATAACGGAACTCGAATGGGGTAGAAAATATAACTTATTTGCATATCCTCAAGTGACAATTTGAACAAAACCAGTCATAAAACATTGAGATAGAAATTTCCCTGATGTGAGAATTGAACTTACGTCTTTGGCGTGCGACAGCGAAGAGCTCAATCGCCGTAGACATAGGTGAAGGAGAACTAGGGAATAGGGAGGGGGAGGGCAAAAGGTACCTTGAAGTAGTAGAACGATTTTATTTATTATTTTTGGTGGGGGAGGGGGTGGCCAAAGCTAATTTTTTTGTACTGTGCTCTATTTGGTGACGAATATTGTTAAGTAACAGGTGTCAATGTGGTAGTTACTGTTAGAGGTATATCTTTTCAGTGTAACAAAAAGAGATACTGGTTCTTTTTTCTGGGGGAGGGGAGGGGGGTCTTTTTGCTTTGTTACCTCAATCCCAAATCCTTTTGGAGTGACCAAAATTTGGAAATACGTTGGTATAGGATTTTCTAACATTAATTTGATACTTCAAAATATCACATGTGGACCTCAGACTCCGGTTCAGAACCGCAGCATATATCCCAGTTTCCACAGACAAGCAAAGACAACGATTCATGATCAGGATCGCAGATTTTTGACCATTCTCATAAGATATTATTTTTGGGGGGCATCCTCTGAGGTGTACAGGATTATACGCTCTTCAATTTTCTTGCAAAAGACGTGAGGAATTCTTTTTCTTTTTTCGAGTATCTTTATCATATTGGCGAATTGCACCCAATACTGCTAAATTTAGCACTGTTATTATGTAGCTCAAAGTAGACCGCATTCTCTAGATTATGCATGATATCAACAGGGACGCTATACATATACATCCCGTCATTACTAGAAAAGTGACAGAGGAAGTGAACATTTTTGTGCAATAGAATTACACTTTTTTCAACCTAGAGTCTGCTCGCTCAATTTCGCTTGAAAAAACAACAACAGGAAAGATGATTAGAATAGAAAATTTACTGAAACTATTCAGTTTGTTTTAATAGAAAGAGACTCCCATTTTGTCCCTGTCTGTGCTCATGGGTCACTCGGAATATTTCCGAGATATAGC